GAGTTCTAAAGTACTCCTGGTCCTAAACCTACTTGATAGAAACTATAGGCCAGGTGAGTTCTAGTACTCCTGGTCCTATACCTACTTGATAGAAACCGTAGACCAGGTGAGTTCTAGTTCTCCTGGTCCTATGCATACTTGATAGACACTATAGACCAGGTGATTTCTAGTTCTCCTGGTCCTGAACCTACTTGATAGAAACTATAGGCCAGGTGAATTCTAGTACTCCTGGTCCTAAACCTACTTGATAGAACCTAGACTAGGTGAATTCTAGTTCTCCTCATCCTAAACCTACTTGATAGAAACTATACATGAGCAAAGTCAAATAAAAATAATATTTGGATATTTTACGCTATAGAATATGGTCAGAGATAGATTAACTGAGTTATATCTATTCTCTTTAATCCTTTTAATATGTACCTTAAACTTTAACTGTGTGATAAATACGTAATACAATGGCCTTAATCATGTGATATCAATAACATTGTAGGAATTGAATTACATCAATTCCTATTAACTTTGTAACCTAAGCTATTGAATAAAGTCAGTTGATTGTGACTTTGTTTTTGATTGAGTTATCAGAAGCATATTAAGCTTGAAACAAAGCTTTGGTTCTCGTTGAAACATACGAGCAGAGATCTTGCGTTGATAATTGGAAAATGAATCGAATATAGCTTGGGTTCTCGTTAAAACATACCAAGCGTAGATCTTGCCTTGATAAATGGCAATTCAGTCTAATATAGACTAAAAGGTAGCTTGGGACCTTATTGAATTATACGAGTAGAGATTTGGGCTGTGTGTCCTTCAGAATCCGAGAATAAGTTTTGGTTGATATTGGTAACAAGTAGACCTGGATATATACGTCTCGAGTAAACTGTTATGGAGTAGGTATTTACGACAACCTATTCCCCTGCGTTTACATTTTTAAAATTATTTCTTTTGCAAGTCAATTATCAATAAAAGTTTGTTTTTGAGCAGTCTTTTGCTGTGCTCGAAAAGGATTCCGCGGGGTTTGGTCAGGGGTCTGTTAACTACCTGGGTTCGAACAGGATATTGCTCGGCTCATGACCGCATGGACCCTCTCCCTCGTGTAACTTTTAGAAAGTACTAAAGTCAAAATTCTAATTATTTCGTTTTTCTCAATATTGATAATTTCGTTCATTTACTATTTTAAAATAACGGTTTTATACAGAAACCAAACGTATTTCAAAATTTGAAATTATGTTCAGAATATGTTCGGGATATTTATTAAATTTTCATATCCCATGAACTTTCTATTCATAATCTTGAACAAAAAGTTTGTTATTTCTTCTAAAAAAGTTAAAACCGGGTTTTGTTTGTTTAGAGTATTCGTCCTCCTTGGATTGGAATGGATTATGATGGGATGGATAAATATAAGAATTATCCTAAATGTAACCCAGATAGAAGAGATGATGAGTTCACTATCTGTACTTATTAAAATCTGTATAATAAAGCTCTTTGCTCATATATATCTATATGTATGTATATATTTTAGCTACAGCTAGACTGAATTGGCTGATTTTGTTAGGAAGCTTATAGGCTAATTTTTTTAACTGAATCACATTTTTTTGTTCGATTTGTAACAGCTAGTATTAAATAAAAAGATGCAATTAATTCGATATACGGATTTAAGCGCAATTGCAAATATATTAACTAGAATGATTATGGATGAATAAAATAAAATGGCGTTTTACACTTTAATTTAAAGGGACTGTAATCGTAATTTCAAGTGACCATCCGTGCAAAGATGGCAATGCCCGATTTACATCTGTACCCTTAAAAGGTTTGTCCGATCGAGTGCAAGTTCGATATAGATGTTTATAATTATAAAAACATATCATTTTCAGTTTTGAGTCCTCGAAAGAAGTGACGCATTTCTACAGCAAAAAAACATATAGAGATTAAACACTTTTAACAGTCTCTTTAACTTTTTTCATACTTTTCTACAGGTGAGGCCCTAAAACTTTAATTTTGTCTCTTGTTCTTATATCCTCTAGTTTCTTTTAATCAAATACTCTCTTTGCTAGTTTTTAAAGCACTGTTTCTTAAGACATTACAAAAATGGCAGTTTTATAATCTTGGAGTTAACCTACCCCATCTATTAATATATCTAACGTCGACACCTAACTTAGGATTTTCAATCACAATTTTTGCATAAGATTATTTCGATAAATTTGGAGGTTTCTTGCCAAAAATTTCACCCAATTTGGCCCAGCGGACTGAAATAGCTGATAGGTAACATACAAAGATACACTTTTCAAAACATGATGAACAAATTTTACCGTGAAAAGTAACCAAAATATTAACAGTGTCTGAACTGAAAACCCTAGTAACACTAATTATAATAATAATAATAATGTAACGATGCATGCTATTAAATTAAATGCTTCTTTGGAAGTTATTTTTACTGCAACCAATGCATATCATGTCCAAAATTTTAAATCTTTCATTTTCAATTCATGCACTATGTCATGCATCAAATGTTACTTAGTTTCGTATATATAGAGAAATTATTAAAAGCAGAACAGACTTGTCTCAGCAGGAACAGATTACCTCTTCCAGATTATTTAAATGGGATACAGGTGTGGCGTTATTTCTGGGTAAACGTTAGATTATGGCGGTAGACTCTACACAGCAAATTTTCTGCGGCATTCGCACACAATTCTGTAAAAGCAAACAGTAAATTAAGTGAAAGTATTTCTCATATTTGAGAATCAATCAAGTTTTGCTGAGCGACAGACAGTAAAAATCAATTGTTTTAACATTAGGGACCAATATTACAGCTTAGTTTACGTAAGATTCTGAGACTTGCAACTTAAAATGAGAGTTTAATGTATAGTTGATTACTTCTGTACTCACATTATATATCAGCATATAGTGTATATTTTAAGTGTAAAAATATAATTTCTAACTTCTACAATTATTTAATGTTAGCCCAGAAATAACGCCACACCTGGTTAGAGGCGTAAGTTTAAAGGTGTGGAGAAGAGGGCAAGGGCTCAGATGGCGAAGTTGGGCGACCATGCTAGGCCTGTAAGCTAACATAACTTAAGCTAGAAACAAGCATATTGCATTTTATAAATGTGTAAGTGAGTTGGTGAGGTATAAAGCTAAAGACAAAGACGTTGCAAAACTTGAAAGTCAGGGTTGACTTTGATGACTAAGATTCAGCGTTGTCTATAGATATTAGTGATATATATTTCTATACTCGTCTGACTCAGATATCGATTCTATGTTTTTTTACTTATTTATCGTTATTTGAATAATCTTAATACTTTTCCCAAATAGTACAAAATCGTGGTTTTACGCTACCTCTCTACATTCTTATATGACTGAAGGAAACACTTCCTCTCTATATGACTGAAGGAAACACATCCTCTCCATATGACTGAAGGAAAAACATCCTCTCTAAATGAATGAGGGAAACACATCCCTCTTTAAATGAATGAAGGAAACACATCCTCTCTATATAACTGAAGGAAACATTTCCTCTCTATATGACTGAAGGAAACATTTCCTCTCTATATGACTGAAGGAAACATTTCCTCTGATTGAATAAAGGAAACACTTCCTTACTATTTCTATGAATGAAAGCTACAATTTCACCATGTTCTGGTTCAACTTCATAGAGTTCAAAACTCAAAAGAAATCGTCTAACCTTTCATTCAACTGTTAAAGTTTGATTTCATTAATGTTGGTGAAAAAAGGAAATTTTGACCAATCAATGATCGCTATCATTTCGTTTTTTGCATGTCTTCTGTCAGGGTCAAATATTCAGAATGAACGAGTTGATATAAAACTTCAGATTTTTTAAAAACCTTCTCCACATAATCTTTACAAAGAGGATCAACACAACTTTTAAGAATAATCATTAAGAAAAAAAATCTTTTCTCAGACGAAGGTTTAGAGGGTACCGAGTCTAGTACCGGCTTTATTCTGGCATCCCTTCAACTTGAAAATTAAGGTTAAAATGAATTTCACAAAAAAATAACTTTATTTACAAAAGTACAAATAAGAGTTTAATAAACAAATATTATAATTTCTGTAGGAACTTGCCGCCTAGGGATGGCTGGTACCGGGGGAAGGATGGGCTGAAACCAAGGGGATGGCTGGTACCGAGGGAAGGATGGCCTGAGACTGCAAACGCGAATTTAATTTAAATTTACACGCGATTTTAATGATTCTAGTGATAATAATTTGTAAAACAAAAAACTATTTTTTTATTCTTCCCCGAGCCTGACATGTAATTAAATATAACATATTTCAAGAAATAATGTAAAAAGATATGATATTTTATCAATTCGCATTTGGTCATAGCACAATTTTAAAAATCGCGATGGACACAGGTTTCTAATCAGAATTATTCATTAGTGGCAAAAGAGGAAGTGGCAATCTTTAAATTGCCTTTTCTATTTAATTAAATTACATTATTTTATTAAATCCATTATTCATGCTAACCAAATCAGTATATTATGGTAAAATAGAAATGTAGCCAGTTAAACCAGTTTAAAGGGACTGCAGACAAAACTTGAAACAACTCTGCATTCATATAACTGGCATATCCGAGAAAACGGTACCACTGCACGACATGTTTTGTATGCTAACCAGTTTAAAGGGACTGCAGACAAAACTTGAAGCAACTCTGCATTCATATAACTGGCATATCCGAGAAAACGGTACCGCTGCACGACATGTTTTGTATGCTAAGCAGTTTTCAAGCACCTCTTATAGAATTGGGTCACAATTCAGTCCCAGAAATAGAAAAACTTTTAGCTCAGCGTAAAACGTATTTTTTAGCACAAATAGATGGTCCATAAATTTTGCGAATCAAATATTCATAACACCGCGGGAAAATTTAATAGTAAAGTTGGAATAAAAGAAATATTTAAATTTCTCACAAATATAAAATTAGCCAACGTTTTAAACATAAGAACAATAAAAAAATGCAAATAAACACTGTAATTTAGCTCATCAATGATAAATATTTTGAGCTGAGGCCAAATTTTAAGAATTCAAACCACGTCACTGAACCGCCAAAAACCGGTTCCAATTGAGCAGCCGCTCAAATGTGGAAACAATGAATACAATTTTAAGTGGAACCATCTTTAAATTCGACCTCTGAACTGAAAAATATGAAAATAACATGGAATATTTTAGGTATTAAGAACCCCTTTAAGCATTATGAAAAAATAAATGCTAGAGTGGAACTAAACATTTTTTCTTTAAGCGCAGAATTTCATTCGACATTTTATTTCTTGTCAGCTGTTTTATCCAGGCCCACCATAGTGTCACATCGCCTAAATCGATCAATCGATCAATCAATCAATCAATCAATCAATCAATCAATCAAATCAAATCAAATCAAATCAAATCAAATCAAATCAAATCAAATCAAATCAAATCAAATCAAATCAAATCAAATCAAATCAAATCAAATCAAATCAAATCAAATCAAATCAAATCAAATCAAATCAAATCAAATCAAATCAATCAATCAAATCAAATCAATCAAATCAATCAAATCAATCAAATCAATCAAATCAATCAAATCAATCAAATCAATTAAATCATCAACCAATCAACCACTCGACCAATCACCCAAGCAACGAATCAAGCAATCAGCTAATCAAATACCCAACCAAGCAACCAACCTGTAAAAAAGAATATATGGGGTTGAAGTTTGAGCCGGAGTGATTACAGATTGCTCCGATGTCTCAGTAATGGCGCTGTCATCGCAATGCAACCATGTTCCATACCCAGTGTGATAAACATCAGTCACATAATGACCTGAACAAAACATTTGATTTTTAAAAATTCTAAATGAAATCAATTCGATGCCGATTGCCGAAAGGGCTTGTACATTAAGATGCGTCAATGTTAAAATTAAAAAATTTTAAAGTAAGAGATAGGTGAGAATCTGTTAAAAAAAGTTTTTTTTTCCAATAATGTAATATTCAAAGCCTTATTACAGTTTTTGTTAACCGCGTAAATTGAAGAGTTTTGAATGTCGTCTCCTGTGCCAGAATAATAAGATCTGATTTTAAAAAAAATTTTCATTAGGATTAATACACACACCTATCGCTTTCTTTTTTTTGAATTTCCAAAAAAAAGTGTAAACTGACACTCCTTATTGTACATCCTGCGATGGTGTATTTTTGGACCTACGCCCATCCCCTCTACTGCCCATCCGACCTACAAGCACGTGGTTTTAACAGCTGTGGTAGGTCCGATGCACTATATGCCCATCCGACCTACAGCTGTCGTAGGTCAGATGTTGCAGTAGGCCGGATGGGCAGTATAGCGGATGGGCAATAGGACGGATGGGCAGTAGAGCGGATCAACATTACCACATCCTGCATTTAATTGATTAAGGTCGTCTTTCTTGCATTCCATTATTTTGAGTGCAGTGTACACAATACACATGGCTATTTAAAAAAAAAATTACCTTTGGTCGCTTCGCGCCCTGTGTGGTAGACGACAGCAAATAGTTTATATTGTCGCTGTTTGGTGTTGTATTTAGGTCGCGCCTCATTCGACAGTACACTCTTAAAAAAATTGAAAATAAAATTAATTCATAAGAGTTCTATAAACATTCCCTAGAAAATATTGGTTCAATATAAAATCTTTGAATAAAAAACAACAAAATGTAACTGTATGTACCTTAGGGATTTCTAGATCGACGGAAAAATCCACGGGTTTCATCACCTTCTGTACACCACCTGTACTGCCGTCGTAAACAAACCTGAATTAGTACAGTACATACAGTAAACTTAGGGATTAGTAAACAAATGTTGGTTTCAGTTTTAAACTAAGTGGGATCCATAAAACTGTGAAATAGTAAGATAAACTCAATTCAAGATTTGAAAAAGAAGCCGTAGGCAGCTGGAATCTTGTCAACCCTCTTCTCAGTATGAATGAAGCGAAGATGGATGAATGTGCTGCCAGATTACAACTCCTGGTAGATCAATATAAACACCAAACTTTCGCAATAGAAAAATTCCGAGATTTGATCGTAACAACCCAATCATGTCCTGGAGACAAAAATCTCTTTGTAATATTTTGAAAAAGTCCACATGTATATAAGGCTATTTTGAACTGTAGTGTAAACAGACCCATTTCAATGGTTAAGTAGTTTTTCAAGCCTAAATGTCGTCCTCAGATACCTCGGGTTTAAGGATCTAAGTGAACATTTACCTTTCGCTCACTAAAAAATTTTAAATCTAAAAAATTGTAAAAACAGGAAATAAACCTTTTCATGTGGAGAATAAGAATAGGAGGAAGCTCTTCTAAGCTCAGAGATCGGGACGCCTCTACAACCTACAATAAAAAATGTATTTAAGAGACTAAAAAACTTTGATTATGTTCTCTGATTCGGAATACTTCATATAATAACAGGGGTGTATATTTTTCAGAATTACACCCCCGCCAAATGATTTTNAGGGGTGACTGGAGCAGTAGTGTCAGATGCAATACGTCTAAATAATCGCGGAATTTGCAAATTTTTTCGATAAAAATACCTGTTCAGTTTTCTGGCGAATGTAATTGCGTGTAATTGCTAATTGTGTATCCGGAAAAAAAAATGCTAATTGCGTATACGAATTTTAATTAGTTGTCAAAATACAAAAAGGTGAAAAAATTATTAGATAAATATACCTGTTTAGTTTTCTGGCAAATGTATCCATCAATATCTTCAGAATCAAAATTTTGAACTAGCGCCTGAAAAAACGTCAGTCAAAAACTTTATCTCACCTGACATTCAAAGAGGTCACTTAAAGCTCCTTTAAGGGAGTGACCGGCTGAGTATGCGTTGTGGAAAACAAAATAGAAACTAATAATTGAACAAGATTACTTATTTTCGATGATCAGATTGATTTTTATTTTCTAAACCGGGTCCTAAGTATCCACCCCCCAAAAAAAGGAGTTTGGAACGTCGAATTTGCGCTCAAACTCAGGATTTACAGATCTTTAAAAAGTCTAATATGTCTCAAATGAATCCGAAAGAAGTAGTTTTCCACAACACTGCATACTCACTTCAACTACCTTACATAGCCGGTCACTCCCTTTAAAGGATATAAAAATGTAATTTTTTCGTTTTAGAATAACTGATAAAAAAGAAAAATGATGCTTGGATAGGGGTGACTGGAGCAGTAGTGTCAGACGCAATACGTCTAAATACATTAGAAATCATAGCTTGGATAGGGGTGACTGGAGCAGTAGTTTCAGATGCAATACGTCTAAATACATAAGAAATCATAGCTTGGATAGGGGTGACTGGAGCTGTAGTGTCAGATGCAATACGTCTAAATACATTAGAAATCATAGCTTAGATAGGGGTGACTGGAGCAGTAGTGTCAGATGCAATACGTCTAAATATATTAGAAATCATAGCTTGGATAGGGGTGACTGGAGCAGTAGTGTCAGATGCAATACGTCTAGTTATATTAGAAATCATAGCTTGGATATGGATAGGGATGAGAGGGAAGATGCAATACGTCTAAATACATTAGAAATCATAGCTTGGATAGGGGTAACTGGAGCAGTAGTGTCAGATGCAATACGTCTAGATACATTAGAAATCATAACTTGGATAGGGGTGACTGGAGCAGTAGTGTCAGATGCAATACGTCTAGTTATATTAGAAATCATAGCTTGGATATGGATAGGGATGAGAGGGATATTAGTGTAAGATACAATACGTCTAAATACATTAGAAATCATAGCTTGGGTAGGGGTGAGAGGGAAATTAGTGTCAGAAACACAGCGCTCGGCCCCTAGCCCATCCTAGACGAGGTGATCGGCCCACATTGTAGCCTGCGGCGCCTCAGAGGACCTAACCAAACCTTTGGTAAGATGCCACTAGGGAAATTGTTACAGTTCTTAACACCGAAATCATAGCTAGGATAGGGGTAAAAGGGAAACAAATGTTAGATGCAATACGTCTTAATACATTAGAAATCATAGCTTGGATAGGGGCGACTAGAGCAGTAGTGTCAGATGCAATACGTCTAAATATATTAGAAATCATAGCTTGTATAGGGGTGACTGGAGCAGTAGTGTCAGATGCAATACGTCTAAATACATTAGAAATCATAGCTTGGATAGGGGTAACTGGAGCAGTAGTGTCAGATGCAATACGTCTAAATATATTAGAAATCATAGCTTGGATAGGGGTGACTGGAGCAGTAGTGTCAGACGCGATTCGTCTAAATGTAATAGAAATCAGGAAAAAACTAGTGACTTAATAATTAGAATAATTAAATTTTACATTTCAGATTGAGGGTGGCTTTCCTTTCCTTCAGTGATAATAACGTACATTTTCGGGGACTTCTGTCTAATCTGTGCATTTTTACGTAAATATTCGCCAGATTCAAACAATTTCAAAAAAGGTCGATTCGTATTTTTATTGGAAAAAATTCGGCGAAATGTTTAACATTTCTTATTTCTTAAAATAATAGAAAAAGTTATATATGTGCAAGGTTTTAGAGGCAACCCTATAAAATAAAAAATATAAGAAAATAAGATTTAAAAAAAAAATACATCAAAAATTAAATAATTGAAGATTCTAGATGAACAAGAGATTAAAGTACCTTGTGATACAGCTTTTACCCCTAGAATCCACCTCCTTCCAGTCCCCATCACCCTCTCCTTCATCCTCATCATCCTTCTTCTCATTGACTTTCTTCTCCTTAACATAACTTATGGTAAACTCCTATCTCCTACTTAATCTTCTACTTAGTATTATCAATATTAAACTCCTATCTCCTACTTAGTCTTCTCCTTAGTATTATCCAAACTAAACTCCTATCTCCTACTTTATCTTCTACTTAGTGTTATTAGTTGAGATTTCAATATGCATACTTTGTTTAGACAAAAACGATCAAACAAAATTATCAAACATTATATTTTCAATTGGCTCATAATAAATTTTCTTTAGTATTTTATTTTAAGCTGAACAATTATAAATTATTATTTTGTATTTAGTGTTTGAAAATAAATACTATATATATATAATATTAAACTCCTATCTCCTACTTAATCTTCTACTTAGTATTATCAATATTAAACTCCTATCTCCTACTTAGTCTTCTCCTTAGTATNCTGTGGTGTCATAATAATACACCCCTGTATACCTGTACAACTTGTTTAATAAGGGTCTGCATCTCGTCCGATGTTCCGTTGAGTAAACAAGTTAAAAATTCCTCGGCGTCTTCTTGCCTTCCCTCAACAACCTGAAAATTTTATTTCTATCTTGTGTGTCTGTTGGCTTGCTTTTTCTCAATAAAAGTCATCTGAGTTCTGAAAACTTTAGAATGGGATAGCCTTAATCCCGATCGGTTAATTAATCTGGAGATCAATAACAAGAGTAGAACAAGCATCATTTAATCTGGAGATTAAGTAAAAGAGGAGATCAAGCATTGATCTCAATATTGAGAGAAACGCTTGATTCTCTCTTTTTCTTAATATCGAGACTAACCTAATCTTGTACTTGTATCCTGAAAAGTGTATAAAATTCAACCAATCAGAGTCGCATTTATGAAGCCGATAAATTTGAAATTATGCGCGTCATTTAAGATTATATTCAGAAACGGGAGGGACTCTCTAAATTTTAAAAAACCGGTTTTTGATTTTTCTCTACTATATCCAAGAAAGAACGGTTTAAGAAGAAAACCAAAAGTGTGTCCATTGGATACTCAGATTAAATAATTGGGATTTAGGATATCTCATTCTAAAGTTTTCAGCTCTGATGATCCAGCTGAAATTCTAGATTGGACTATTCATGACGGTCAAGATTTATTGATTCATTGATTTGAAATATTAATTAAAACCCGCCAATAAAAGCATGGAAAGCCACTCATTATGCTTTTATTGGCGTATGGGGATACAATAATGAAGTACCAACAAAAAGGCAAAACTTAGAAAAACATCAAGGAGCGGTTGAAAGACAAATAAAATATATTTGCTCTTTTATAATAGTCTTGATTTCATTATTTTCAAGCTTTACTCTTGTACTTCATTATTTACCATTGGGCGTAATTGTTTTGATATTAAAAAAGATGTCAGCTTAACTTAATATATCTACATTTTATAATTTCCTCAACTAGCTTTGCCTTGATTTCCCCCTATAAAAGTTGCCCCACGCTACTTAGAATTTTAAAACCAAGCTAAGAATATTCCCGTGGTTCTCTCGAGTTTCCCAATCAATATTTGAGCTGAATCGGTCAAGGGGTTAATGAGTTATGATCGACATACAAAAAATACAATCAGAGATTACTACTTTACATACAAATTATATAGATACCTTGAAAGTGTCAGAAGACAGGTTTAAAAGCATCTTGTAAACGTAGCTTGGTTCAAGACTTGATCCAATCCTAAATTAAAGTTAAGATGTAATCATGTAGTGTGGATCTCTTGATCTTGATCTTTTGTTAATCTGCAGATTAATTTAATCTTTAATCGACATACCACTTGATAATCGTTCCCCAATCAGGGATTGAAGGGAACTTTGATCTGCAGGGGAGGAATAACAAGAGATTAAGCAATGATCAACGAACTATAAGTGCCCACAGTCGATATCGAGTTCAAATGATCGGGATTAATTATAAATATTCAACAACAACCTTTTCAGCTCTAGTTTCCAGGCTTTACTGAAGTATTCAAATAATTATCTTTTTAGATAATTTTTTCTCATAAATTTAATTCTTTCATTAGCTTTTGATAAGAAATTGTTGTTTTTTGTCAGCACAAGTTATTAGATGGGGGTTGGCACTGTTCATGTTCAAGAAAGATCCTTGACAAAAATAGAAACCAACCTAATTTCTTCTTTCTTCCTTCCCTTCTCTCTCTTTTGAGGCTTAGATATGGTCTCCAGGGGGTGGAACTCATGGATGAAATCAATCAAGCATTCAAGCATCGGAGACACGGGTTTACCTGAAATAATGTATTATCAAGGATTGTGGAAAATAAACAAAATCAACCAATATTTAAATGCTGATCTTTATGGGTTCTAGTGTTTGGGACATCTGGCATATTTTTAAATATCTAACCATCTAATTGACATCCATTCATTGACAAGAAATAAAATAAAGTATGTGATTTTGAGGGCTAACGGAAGATAATAATTTCTTTAGATTAAAATCTATCTTCTGTATTAATTTCATAATCTAATAAATGTGCTTAATGATGTAAAAAAACAGCGGGGGGGGGGGGTTAAGAGGACTTAGTACCCCCTAAATCACAACAATACAAGAAGTGAGACTTGCAGAATTAGTTCCAACTAATATTCATTTATGAAGTCTACTTATATGTGGAGTCGTTTCTGCAAAACAAATTTATCTTTTAAAAAAGAAAACCAGATGTTCCCATTATTTTTTAACCCCAGACACAATACACATTATAAATATGCAAAGAGAGGGCAAAGGTTAAGACCCCACAAGTCCACATATTAAATCAAATCCCACGACCCCCATAATCGTAATTCACGTCCCTGACCGCACAATCATATGATTTGATTATTTTGTCTAGTGGGGGTAATTATTTCCAATAAAATATATGTATTGTATCCTATTATTCATATTCATGGATATACAGCTGTTATTCTGGAATATAAAATATATGTATTGTATACCCTTGGCAAAAAATAATATCTATTGATTATCTCAATACCTGATTTAAGACCGGAGACGAGGGGTATATTCTTAAACAGGTTATAGAATGGAGGACAAGCCAGTAGAGCCTTTAGATCACACAGATTATTATTATTATTAAAGGACAACTCATCATTCAATGAAATAGGGGTCGGCGCTCCTAGCTGCCGAAACGTATCCATGGGCAAACCGAACCGTGTCACCCTAGGGAGAAGACTTAAACTAGGCGATCCGCCCAAGACAGCTCCGTTTCTGGAGTCTCTCTGAAAAGCAGGCGGTTCGCCCAAGATTAGAGTTATTTAAAAATAATATTACTTTTATCAAAAGACAACCTAACGTTCGATACAATAAGGTCTGCAGATAAGACGGGAAGGCCCACGCGTTTTTAAATTTAGCAGGAAGACATGTTGAAACGAAGCGCTTACAGGTACAGGGTACTGAAGCAAATCCATTTAGTGACAGTCATTTTTGAAAAAAAAAGAAAATCGGATGCGGCATGCCTCCCCCACTCGTTGGTTCTTTCAGTAAATAAACGTAATATATATTTGGTGTCAAAGAGGTGAATAAAAAAAAATTTGAAAGACCGAATCGGGAACAGTCGTCCGGAATATATATCGCCTTCAATAGCTTATGTCCAAAATGTAAAAATATTCTCAAGCAATCGCTTGTTACACATTTTGAAATTTAACGACACCAAAAATAAAAGCATGATTTTTGAAGCAGCTCTGAAAAACAGGAATAGGAGCGTAAAGGGAAGGGGACATAAAATAACGGGGTTGGTGGGAGTGATCACAGGAACATAATCTGTGTTTTCCTGAAGGATGGCATTTACAAAGCACCAGTTGGATCGGTTAGATAATCCACGGGGCATTAGTGCAGGCGCATAGTGACTCAATCTGTAGTCTAACAGAAACCTAAAATATAAACCTCATCAAGGCCGAGTAAAAAAAATAATAAATAAAAGGTAATTATGAAAAAAGGTAGACATTTATTTGAGACATATTTAGCTTTTTAAAGATCTGTAAATCCTGAGTTTGAGCGCAAATTCGACGTTCAAAACTCCTACTTTGGGGGGTGGATACGTTTTCGGAATTAGTTTTTTTAAATCATTAAATAACGACGACATAAAATGTAAAAAGTTCCATAATAAACTACAGACGTCATGTATAGGAACATTTTGAGAAAAGCAAATTAATCTTATCATCGAAAATAAGTAATCTTGTTCAATTATTAGTGTCTATTTTCTCATTATTCTGGTTTCTCATTATTCACAAAGATTTTCTGTAGATTTTCTGCATATTTTCTAAAATTATTATTGAAAAGACGACATTTAAAGAATTTGAAGAAATCTGCGAATAAATTCAAAGAAAATAAGAAATTCGATACAATAATGAAAACGAAATAATCGATTTTAGCATTGATTTATTGACAAATTTCTTTTTAGAGATATGTTCCTAACCATTTTATTAGATTACTGTATAATTCTTACTTTATTTTTCGTTGTCGTTATTTTATAATTTTCAATTGAATTAAGAGATACTTTCGTAGTAGAAATTTATAATTTTGAAAACGTATCCCACCCCCAAAGTAAAGAGTTTTGAACGTCGAATTTGCGCTTCAACTCAGGATTTACAGATCTTTAAACATTTTATATGTCTCAAATGAATCCGAAAGAAGTATTCTACAACACTGCATACTCAGTTCAACTACCTTACATAGCCGGTCACTCCCTTTAAGAAGTTTTCAAATTCATGCATTTTGTAAAAATTGGAATAATGTTTTAACTAGTATGTTGAATGAAGACAGGAATATGAGTGAGAGAACTTACTTCCCGAGTTCCTTCGATTTCCTGTCTCCTGCCTCTGCTGGTTCTGATACAGCACCTATGAACAGTATATAAGTGATATGCGAGGTTTACAATAGGTGTTGGGACATTTTATGAAAGTCATTTCATAGATAAAAAATCATAGATAGAACATTTCAGATATAAGACATTTCATTGACAGAATAATTCATAGATAAGACTTTTCGTAGACAGAACAGATTTGTCAAAGACAGATAATTTCATAGACTACCGTGCCGTACCGTACCGTACCGTACTGAATAGCCTTATTATGTTCTAAAATAAATTGTTGTAATCTGTACTTATTCTATGCAATATTATGTAGTACCGTATCACACATTAAGTTACATTACCGTACAACGGTACAATACCGTATTATACCAAAAAGTTACACTGTACCTGGAGCTAATGGTTCTGATGCTGTGAAAGGAGAAATACGAGCAGTAGGTTTCTCAGTGGACTGTACAGGTGCAGCAGAGTTCTTAAAGAGACTAGCCCAACTTCCACCAACATGGGCACCAACTTCCTCCTCTCTCTGCCCGCCACCTTCTACAGAATCAACCTCAGAGCTTGCAGAAGGTTTTACAGGTTCAGGTTCAAGTTGAGAAGTTTGGGTCTGCAAAGTTGCAGGTTTACCAGCTTGTAGGTCAGCCTGATGGGTTTGGTTAGATGAAGCTGAAAAGCCTGGAACAGCTTTGTTAGTTTCTGATCCAGGTTGTGGAACAGCAGGTCTACTTCTCTGCTCTTGTCCATCAACCAGATGGACACCATGGCTATCATGTTTGAGCGACCTTGTTTCTCCACCTGAACTAGAAGCAACATTCTGATCGACAGAAAGAGGTCTAGCCTCACTACTAGTGGGTGCAGAGGGAGTAGAATAGTTCTGCTGAGTGTTAGCAGACTTGGGCTGGACAGTGATCTGACCTTGATTAGCCTGCTGCTGAGGAATTGTCTGGCCTTGCTGGGCCTGGCTAAAATTACCTTGTGGTATTTGGCTTGTAGAACCCATTTGCGCATTATTTGATGGACCTTGCTGCACTCCGCTCTGCAGCATTTTACTGTTTCCAGAACCCTGCTGTTGTACATGACTGGGCACCTGTTGTACATGGCTAGAAGGACCCTGTTGTATATGATTGGGAGGCCCCTGTTGTACATGGATGTGAGGCCCTTGTATATGACTGGAAGCATGAACATTTTGGCCCTGGTGTCCATGTCTACTGAGATGAGCTTCGTCAGAATATTCTCCCTGCTGACTGACATAAGGTGCCTAGAAAAGAACCTAGTCATTGAACTAAGGAAATGCGCATTTACTGAGATGTTTCAGAACAAGAATAAAATGAATTAAGGAAATACCAGCCAAAAGAGATTAACATTGAAAATTTGGACTCAAAATTCACAGATATGACTTCAATACTTTCTGTTTTCAGTTTAGTCTTCTCTTAAACAGGCTTTGTATCTTCATATAAGTAATGATTGTTGTTAAAAAAAGTATTATCTATGCTAACAAAATAATTTCATGGTTTTATTATGAATAGACAGATTCTGTATAAATATGCTAAAAATCATTGCCTGGGACTGGTGGTGATTGGTGTGTTGTGGAGCAGGAGGTGCAGATGCTGGATGTTGACCAGCATATAACTTATTAACTGTGGTGGGATATCCTTGAATTCCAGTTGTGTTAGAGTTGTTTTGAACTGCTAAACCCCCAGGACTGGCTTGAGCAACTGAGTATCCTTGGTTGGGCGGATAACTTTGAATTGGTTGTGTTCGCTGGGGTGTGTGCACAGCTGCACTAATTGGCAGGCTTCCAGACTGGAAGGCAGGGTTAGTTGATTGCTGAATGGAATACGAGTGTATGGGTGTCTGGGGGGAGTAGGAGGATTGTGTGGGAGCCTGCGGAGTGTAGGAGGTAGTAGACTGGCTCTGGGACGGGAAAGAGTTGATAGAAGGGTTAAAGGATTGTTTACCCTGAGGTATGGAAGGATAGGTAGAGGTAGGATAGGACAGATTAACCAGTTGGGAAGGATAAGGCTGACTAGCCTGAGTATAGGGCTGACTGATTAGCTGAGGAGGATAGGGTTGATTAGTTGGCTGAGGATAAGGTTGGTTGGTTGGCTGAAGATGATAGGGTTGGGTAGGGGTAGGTCTGGATAAGACAGACACAGGAACTGAGGAGTAGATTAAATTTTGCTCAGACTAAACAAGAAATCCATAAATCAAAAAAAATAGTTCTTTGTCAGGGTTTCATGTAACAAAACTAGTGAATACTATTGTTCAGTTACATAAGGAACGGTTTTCCTTCGACATAAAAAAGCCCACAATGGGCAATATGACATTTCTAAAATATTAACATCTAACATTGTTAAAAGTATTTTGTTAAGTATATTTTTATCTGTAACTTCTTTTTTCATTTTTATTTTTAAAAATAATGGTTTTAACCCTTAGAAGTTTTAGGTGGTAAGAACTCGGAGAGTCCAGCTCCGAACAATCAGTATCTCAGTATCTAATAAATCACCTGTGCATTTATATTTACTGAGGACTTCTGGGCACTCTGAGCAGATGTATCAGGACCCTGATCCTTTTTCCCTGACTCTTGGGAGCTGATGGCGGTGAAGTTGGAGGAAGTTTTAATTACTGGTGCTGGAGTCTCGTTCACATCATCATCATCATACAGTTTTCCTTTCACTAAATTCAACCATAAATTCTAATATCCTCTCTGCTTAAAGAGTAAGGAAAAAGAAGAAGAAAGCTAGATTAAGGATATTAAAATAATAATGATAATACTCTTTTCACTAAACAAACCACAGAGAGTAGTGTCTTATTTGAATTTTTCTCACCCAATGCTAACCCATGTTCCATCAACTTGCAGTGATCTATCATTTATTTTTGGGAAATCATTTGTTTATCATTTGATTATGTTTTGGTAATCTTTTAACATTATGTCAGTGATCTGAAAGTCAAGTTTTGGCTTCCTTCCTTTAGATTATTAAAATCTTTCCAAAGTTTATCTTCATTTTAATTCCTTAAATTCTAACATTAAAAATTATTTGAATAATGATATTCTGCACAAGAGTGTAATTTTTCCATTTGTCCCAGCTGTGACTTTGTGGAAAGAAAATGATTTGAAAGGGTGAAATATGAATCTCAGAACTAATAAACACTCCTGAATCTGTTTAAACCATCAAATGTATGGGTTGCCTGAAACTACTGGAGGATGAGAACCAAAGGCAAGATCTGCTTCACATGCCTGAAATTATTATTATCATTATCATTTTTTAATTTAAGAAATGATCGAGGCAGATCCCAAATGAGGAATCCTCAGACCGCCATCAGACATTATGGGACTTGGCCCAAATCCTGTTCAATCCAGTACCCTGACCCATGGGACTTTACAAAAGCATAGAAGTGCCGGACTCTGGCTAGCAAACCCGTCAAGACCAAGTTGTATTCCTTAAAAGGCATTACTTAAGACGACCCAAGACCAAGTTGTATGCCTCAAAGAGTGAAAGAATTTATTAAGACGACCCAAGATTGAAAGACATTATTTAGATGACCCAAGACCAAGCTGTATTCTTTAAAGCATGAAAGGCATTATTTAGACCCAAGACAAAGCTGTATTCTTTAAAGCGTGAAAGGCATTATTTAGATGACCCAAGATCAAGTTGTATTCCTCAAAGAGTGAAAGGCATTTTCCTTACTTACCTTAAAATCTACTGTTTGGTCTCTTTTATCAAACACTGGGCGAAAAAACTAAATAAAACTAAATAAAAACATGGAAAGAAAAAAAGTTTTGAAAAATTAAAAATTTTATTTATGCTTTTAATTTAAAAAATAAAACTTTCGTGCTGCTTAAAAAGATCACATGAGAGAACATAGTTTTCCTAGGTTCTTACTGCTTACATATGTAAATCATATTTAAGATGGCATCAACCAAATCTGTTAGTCAGCATGGAAGATACAAAAATTAAAAATGCATTACTGAAAATTTGAGAACTTTGAACGAATTTAATGACCATGCGTTGGTAGGGTGGTCATGTCTGATTAACATGTTTTTGTTTTCGAAACAGATTTTTTTACATTTGCCGTTCCTCTGGAAAAGTAACTTGCATGTTTCTTGCTTTTGGAAAGCAAGAGAGATATTGTCAGAATTCAGCCAGAAATAAGGTTTTTGGAATACTGATGTGAAACAAAAATAGCCTCTATATAGATGGAGGGTTACTTATCATTACTACGATAGTTCCTGAAAACAAAAAATAACTATGAGACAAGATCTAACCTGCTGTTGTTGAGTTATGTCTTGACAGACAACAACTGGAGACTGATACCCGGCAGCTTTATATCCCTGAAAAGTAAAGCTTTTAAACCATGCTTGTTTGAATATTGTCTTCCAGGGAATAATAAAATATTTCAGGATTAATGTATTCTGAAATATGAACCGTATGCTATACCTGGGATTGCTGGAAAGAATGAATGTATCCAGGATAGGAACAGATACTGTACCTGGGACTGTTGAACAGGATAAATGTATCTGGAATAAGAACCGGAAACTGTAAGTGAGATTGTTGGAAAGGATGAATGTATCCTGGATCTGAACCAAGGATTGCTGGAAAGGATGAATGTATCTGGGATATGAACCGAATACCGTACCTAAGATTGCTGGAAAGGATGAATGTGTCCTGGATATGAACTGGATACTGTACCTGGGACTGCTGGAAAGGATGAATTTATTAGGAATAACAACTGGAGATTCTGTACCTGGGATTGTTGGAAAGGATGAATGTATCCGGGGTATGAACCGGATACTGTAAACGGTATCGGCATAGCCTGTCCAGTCCCACTCTCCATGCTATTTAGAGGCATCTTCACACTCTATAACATTGGTAACTTAAGATTTTCCATTTCTTGATTTTTGATTATCATTTGATAATTTTTTTTAAAGATATTGTTCAGTAATCTTTTAATGATATTTCTATGAAATTAACATTAGAAAATCGTTCAGCAATTGTACTGGAAAAAATATATTTAGGCTTTTTTGCCTATTCAACATCGTAGTATTGTGTTAAAAATTACTCCAAGTAGGTAGTAGGTACATTCCCCAAAAATGGGGGATGGGGGCAAGGAACTGGGTTTTTAAAGAAGTAAGGTGGGAGTTGACTGGTTTATGTCACAATACTCCTCTTAAAATGCATTTGTCTTGTGTTTCATGGTGAGAATGGACAAAATGAATATATTCTGATAATCTTTTTATTTACAAACATTGTATCAAATGTAGCTTGCATTGATTTATAATGATTTTAGATTATAATTACTTTTACCTTCCATATATTTATTTTTTAAAGGATCCTGTAAACCCGCAATTCAAATGATGGAACTTATATAAAAATTGTTTTTCATAAAATATCTTACACATTTCCCTCTAAACTTGTCAATAAAACATTTTTAGGCCATTTCTGAACTGTTATAATATTTTCAAATAGTATTGTGTTAAGTTTGATAAAAAAATTACTTTCACCACTCCCCGAGGGTGCTGACAAAAGGTGTAAAAAAGTCGCGATTTTTCACCTTTTTCTAAAATTTGACTCATCAAAAAACAAAAAAAATCGAAAAAAATTGTCAAATATCGTTTAAACTAAGATAAAGGATTTCCAAAATGGTATCACTCTTTAAATCCCTGAACATTGACTGAGTTCACCCTATTTAGCCAAGAATGATTAAAAAAGGTTAAAAAAGGCCAAAAATGGCGGGGAAACAGTAAAATGGGCGGGCCATTTTGGAAAATTATTTTGAAATGCTAAAATTTCGTATTTGAGCTAGTTTAACCATATTGCTTCCTAAAAATTGTGTCGCACATTTGGGATTTTTTTTCATCGGCACCCTAAGGGGGGGGTTATCGATGGAACATTTCCCTCTAAAATGTCGTTTTAATCTTTGAAACTAGGCCTAAAATTGGAAAATGTGCTCGGTCCCATTTCCGAACATATTTATTGCTTTTTAACCCGCTAAACTTCGTTTTAATGCGCTAAAAAGTGTTACTATTCAGTGCAATGCCCATAAATTGGTGGATCGTCGTTATAACATTTTGCTCTAATATGCCGTTTTATCCTTTAAAATGTACTCGGTCCCTTTCCTAAGACCATGCGTCATTTATTTTGAAAAATCCTTAATTCTATCATTGAAAACTTCGACATTTATTCAAATTTGTTGTGTAAAACGTATAAAACAAAATCAATTTAAGATTTTTATTTTGTAGATCTTTGGAAAGGAGACCGAGCACATTTTCGAATATTGGGCCTACTTACATAAAAAAAACTAAAACGGCGTCAACGAGAACATTTATTGAGGCATCCACGTATTTTCGGTAATATTTCGTTTATCTTTGTATAATTTAATAGTCAAAGCAAATTTTTCTTGATTTTGAACCAAAATTTGAGTTTTAATATTATATTAGATTAATTGTTCTGTATGAGTAAGAAGTACCTGATTATCTGAATTGAGAACATAATTTAGGTTTGTTGTTAGATTATTGATGTGAATGGTTTGGGCGTGCTGAAAAAAATCAAATTCATCATCTAACCTTTTTTAAACTTTTATTAAAAAGATAAGATTATATTTGTATATTTGACTTGTTTGTGTCCAAAAATCGTCAATACGACTGAACCTTAGGTAATTCTTATAGTTGAGCAATTTTTTTTTGCTTAAATAATGATTATTTGAAAAATCCACCATGGCAAATTACCATCGACCATGAAAAAAGAAAAATCGAAGAAATCCTGAAATTTATATTTAAGTTACAATGTACAAAATTGTGTAGGGGGGGGGGGGAGATGAATAACTTTCCTGATGTTGTGATGGGATCGGTATATGAGGAATGAAGGGTGCAGAGGCTGCGTTCAACTTTTTTCCAGGTTTATCTTTACATCAAGAGAAAATTTTTTATTAAATATTTTTTTTAGTGTTTTTTAACACTTGATTTAAGTTTTTCATGAAAAAAATGCTTGATAAGTAATTGAGGTGGAACACATAAAGGGGGTTAGGGTAAGGTAAAAAACCAAAAGCCTTTATTTACAAAAAAACAAACAAAAATAAGCTTTTTCATTCATACTTAATTAAAGGGTGAAAGTAAGCACAAGTTCTGATCAACATTTAACACAGAATTTGTATTTTGGGAATTAACATTGTTTTTATATCAAATCGTTTTATTTTCTTTGTTCCTGAAGAGGGAATCTGAAAAACAGCTGCGTTAGGATTAAGTTGAAGAGATTTAAACATGGCTGTAGCATCACCAAACTCACAATCAGGAGATCTTGCAGGAGTTATCCAGACTCGGCAATCCCCTGCAATATTTCAAAGGATTGTTCACACTTTTGAAAATAATGAACTAGAATTCTAAAAACTCCTAATCCTAACCCCCAAATTAGAATATCATAGTGTTCTCTGTAAGAGAGAAACAATGGAAGAAATTGTCAGAATTGATCACTAGCTAGAAGAACGACGTTAAGGTTTCAAGTGTACCATTGAGAATTGGAGATGAAGGGTCAGTTGAAATAACAAAGATATTCACCTTCAGTTTATTTCCCACATTTATATAATTCAAATACAATTAATAAATACAATAAATTAAAAAAATGTATCTTTAAATCATAACGTAGTAATATTCGATCATATCTCATGAATCCCTTTACAGATTTGTCATGCTAATTTAATTCAGCACTTCAGGCAAAGATGGGTAGCCACAAATAGATTACCAAGTACAATAGGCGGCACAGCGAACTGGATCAATTATACATGACGTCACAAGTGTTAAATATAACAAGGAAAACGAAATTTTCTCTCATTAGTTGACATGTTTACCAAGATTAAATAAAAAAGTTTAATAACAGAAAATAACGAACACATAAAATTTCACTTATTTCACTGTAAGATAAGCACAAAGTCTAAAATTGTCACTATTATCAATAATTTTGTCGGACACAAAGACTGTCGACACTTGTGACGTCAGAAAACAGCTGTACTGAGAGTACAAATTCAACGTTGCCAACTAATGTACTAGAATCTATTTGGGTAGCCATTACAATTTCTGATGAAAGAAGGAGAAGGGATGTGAGGTAAATTTCTAAAAAGGTTGACTGGGACTTGTTCTTAAAAAAATATAAACATGACACCCTTCTTACCTGGGAGGGGTATAGGTGGTGGTTTAACTACAGCGTCTAGTATAGATTTGTCTGCATTATCTGCGAATTCAACGTTTAACCATGTCTAATATAAAGTGTCAACTATTTTAATGATTTGAGAAATTTTTGCAACACCCTAAAAGAAATCATTTCTACGCCCTTGACCATAAATTAGCTATTGGCTCATGTGTTGTCAACAGCTATTCATATACATATTTTAACCAATGAAACTCGGAAATGTGTTAAATCTCCAATATTGATGATTAGTTTTCCTAGTGGATGGAGAGAAGAGTTAAGATCTAAAAACTCGAGATCCAACTCAAGTATTCCAATATTTTCTTGATTTGTTTCCCGCATTTTGCTTTTTTCCTGATTCATTTCCCGCATTCCACCCTTTTCAGGTTTAATTTCCCGCATTCCGATCTTTTCTTGGCTCATCTCCCGCATTCCGCTTTTTTCAGACTTTATTTCCCGCATTCCACTCTTTTCCTGACTCATTTCCCGCATCCCAGTGTTATCATGGTCACCCATGATGACTCAAGCAAACATATTTGATCTGAAGATAATAAATATTGGTTTTAAATTGATAAAAAATAATTTTATCTAGATGGTTAGGTATTGTGTCTGATAAATAAGATATTTGTTAAGAAATCTGAAGATATTTGTTCAAAAATGATATTTAAAAGTCTAAAATCTAAATATCTGAAACTAAATATTTATGGAATACAGAGGGGGCTTTGTTAAAACAGCAAGCTCTCTAAGATCATCTGCTGCAGTAATTTTAAATAAATGTTTTTATTACTTTTTTGTCAGTTTCTTATCAAATTGTTTTGCAGAACAAAATATGATTTAAATTAATTTTAAGAGGGGGGCGCGCGCAAATTGTGCCCCCCCCCAAACAAAAGCCCTCATACGCCCCTGGTGGTGTGGGGAAGGGAATAATTTCTTTGAGAACGATTTTTGGACCCCCTGGCTGGATAAAGTTGGTTGTGTGGCCGCAGCACCCGGCAACCTAGCCTGTCCTAGCCGCAGCGCTTGCACCCTAGCATGTTCTAGCCGCAGCGCTCGGCCCAGGAAGTGTCCTAGCCTTACCTAACCCGAATGGTAATTTCCTATTATATGATTTATGGATCCCCTCCCCTCATATCAATTGTGTAGATCATTTTTATCGATTTTTAGGTACTTTTAAAAAAGACACACATGAATAAAGTTGGTCTTGTGACCACAGCGCCCAGCCACCTAGCCTGTCCTAACGACAGCGCTCGGTCCAGAAATTGTCTTGGGTCTGTCCTAGAGAACGAATTTTGGACCTCCCCCCCCCCTTTTCACTTAAGTTCATGACCAAGATTTAAATTATTTTCAACAAAAAAAATATTTATTTTGTATTATTTCAGGGTTAGGTTAGGGAAGGACAATTTCTGGGCCGAGCTACTTAAACTACTTAATATCGAAAAAATCACATCCAAATTAATATCTAAAATATAAGATCTTCCTTCAAGGCACATCAGGTAAAAATGAACAGAGCGCTGCACACCATAAAACCAGTTCGGCCAGCACTGTGGTAAAATGCAGAAAACATCAATAAAGATTCAGTACATGATGCATATGGTAAAAATAAACATTAAAATGGGACAACTAAACTATAAAATCTTCATTTTTTCAATGATGGTCACCATGACATAGTGTTTAAATTCTAGGATTTGTGTAAACTGTTAACTGTTAGCTCTTTCTACAATTTTCTTGAGTTAATAAACGTTCACCAGTCGCCACTGACTCACGGCTAAAAGTTACAAGACGGCATGATTTTATTACGAAATCAATGTGAATGCCACACAACATTTTAATTGAAAGAAAGACGACTTTTGAAATTTTATCTTTAAAAAATTTATATCAATTAACTCAAAAACGAATTGTATTCAAAATTGAAATAAACTTTGAAATAAAATTTAATTACCTGTACGAAAAAATCTATAATTTTGATGATTTTGGAACATTTTGATGAAAATACAATAAAATAAAGACGACTGTATAATTACAAAGGCGACATTACGAATACAAAGACGACTTGAAACCAATGCAATGAATGCCCCGTAAGTTCTTAACAAAGAATAGTTTTCATGGTTCACGAAACCGATGTTTCTCGCGTTCTGTTCGATTTTTAAAGATTAAGTTAATATACAAAAGATTTGAATGATCTGAAAAGTAAGTCTATTAATTGTATAATTAAAATCGGTTGTATTTCGTAGGTATTCATTTGTATTCTAATCGAATTGCTTAAAACATATCTAATTATTTAATTTACCTCTAGGTATGTGTTAGACTTTGAATATAGAGGAATTTCGCCAAACAAAAATTTTGGAACTACGTTCCCGGCGTGCACTGATTTTATCTGATCCTTCCCTGAGCTAAAGCTTCTTCTTTACATTTAGAAGTTTAAAGTATTGAAATTTTAGTGTTTTTATTACGGAACCATATAGGCTAAAACGGCCATGGGGAGTAGGAACTTGGTACTATTCTCCGAAAGAATACTTATTACTTTAAGCCCAAGCCGCCTCAATACATGAATAGGGTTAAAGATAATAATGAAATATCGGTATATTCCTAGAGAACGATATTCGGACTCCTTGTCCCCCCCAGGCTCCCCCCCCCCTCCTATCCATTTTGTACATGGATCTTTTATGTTAGACATGGATATAATTGACCATGTGGCCGCAGCGCTCGGCCCCTAGCCTGTCTTAGCCGCAGCGCTCGACCCAGGAAGTGTCTTAACTAACCTAATCCGTGGCCGCAGCGCTCGGCCCCCTAGTCTGTCCTAGCCGCAGCGCTCGGCCCAGAAAGTGTCTTAACCTAACCTAACACTAAATAATAATAAATAAATACTAATCTTTATTTCGTCTTGTACAAAATAGATAGGAGGGGGTGGGGGGGGGGTCCAAAAATCGTTCACTAGGACGGACCACAAATATCTGTGAATATTTACTTTAATAAGTCCCCCGCCCCCTCCGTAGAAATCCATTTTATTCTCAGAAACAGTGTTAGTAGGGTTTTATTCGCTGAATTGGGAAAAGTTTCTAAAGGGAAAATTTAATAAACATGCAAAGTTGTCCAATTTTTTTCCTTCAATCTTCAGAATCTTGTTATTCGTAAGCAGTCAAATTCATGATTTGATTATTGATCAAGTTATGACATTTTCTAGAACCCTCCTACGTTGGACGAGGGGCTAATTGGCGTTTATATTTTTAGATTAAAATGTATCAGAATAGAGTTATCAATTTAACAGGTTAGTTAGTTCTTAAACCTAATTTTTTATTTTTTATTAGACTCTGGCAAATTTTTCTTTGGGGTTTTTGCTAGACAACCTGTTTTACAGAAAATTTCATTCATGTTTTTTAAATTATTTTACGTGTAAAAATTGGAAGACTGATTGATAATTACCATATATTTAGGAATCCCACCGGCCGGAGGCCCACGGAGGCCAATAAATGGAGGCACTCAAGGTAAGATTTTGCTGGTTAAATAGGTATTTTTAAATGTGATTTTTGTGAGAGTTGAGATAAAAAATATTGGGGTCCGTCCTAGAGAACGATTTTTGGACCCCCCTCCTATCAAAATTTTTGTACATGACCACTTTTAAAACAATTTTCAATTAAATTATTATTTATTTAGGGTTAGGTTCGGTTAAGACACGTTCTGGGCCGAGCGCTGCGGCTGGGACAGGCTAGGGGGCCGAGCGCTGCGGCTACATGTCTTACATTTAAGATCCATGTACAAAATTGATAGGATGGGGGGGGCGGGGGGGGGGGGGCCAAAAATCATTCTCTAGGAAATTACCAAATATTGAACTGAAGGAACTTATATTTTTGCTAACGTACTGAATTTATTATACAGTGTTCAATAACGAGTTGCATGCTCTTTAATTTTCTTCAGGAAATTTACCATTTAAAGTTTTTAAGTAAATTAAAGATATTTTTTTTCATATAACCTGTTTTACCAATTAGTAATGTTTTGTTGTTGAGAATTACCAATTGATAAAAGCCTTTTTAAAGGAAATTTTCAAACGATAAAAATATTCTTTTTAGGACATTCTATAGGAATTGCGACGGATCTGTCCCTGCCTAGAACTAACAATACCGTGCCAACTTCAGGAACAGCGAAAATTACACTTGCTTGTAAAGTGGGGAAGGCGTAATTAAAATTTACCCTTCTTGCAAAAATGGCAATATTCGATTCACTAAGGGACCTTTGATATCTAAATTTGTGAAAGATACCGTCGTTTTTGTGAAAGTGAATAATTCTGACAATTTCTCTAATGCTTCTTATTAGCAAGAAATGCGCAAGTCACTTACGAAAACAATGACAATGTTCATAAAAATAAACAGTAAAGATACAAAAACATTTTAATTCATACTTGATCAGACAAAGCCGTCAACGGTACCTTTGTAAATCGAGCATTGTTATATTTGCATGGAGGGACACTGGAAAATAAGATCTTTATTTTTAAATGCTTAAATACTTCTCCTTCCCCAGAGAAATTGGAATGAGACTGGACCTTTTTTGTATTATTGATGCCATTTCTCATTTTTTTGTATTTTTTATACCATTTCTCACTTTTTTTGTTGTATTCATACCATTTCTCACTCATTGAAAATGTATATTTTCTACCACAATTAATTCCCCATAACCAGGAGTTTTGGTTTTCAACTTCTTGTGCAAAACTGCTTTTAATTTATTAAGGAATAAGATGATAATAGAGGGAGAGGATACATATTTTATGTCTACCCATATCAGTTACTCATTCTCTTCTAATTTTTTATTTAAGAGCAATAAACAAAAGATTTCAACTGAATCAGTTTTTTTTTCAATGTTCCTGCGTTTTTAGGCCATATTCTACCGGGCCAGGTGTACAGCCAACCTTACTCATCTATTCATTCATCAGTCATCCCTCCTCTCATCCCATCAAACTCAACCCAACCATCCTCACATTCCATTCAACTCCATTCAGGGGGTGCTGGGATTCACGGATCTATTCAGGGGCTTCAGAGGGGTTCTGTGCTCCAAGGGGGACCTATTCAGGGGCTCCAAGGGGGTCCTGGGGTATTGCATCTTGTCAGAGGAAATTCAAATGGTTCAGCTACTGCCAATACTTCATCTTACAATGGTTCTCAAGGTAAAGTGGTCTCCAAAATAATAAGGAGACCCACAATGAGAACTTATGGGTTTATTTGTCTATTTTAAAAAGAATATACCCCTAATTTTTTTTATTTTATTTGCTATTTTAGAGAAACGATTTTTAGTTAAAAAAACTCGACAATTTCTAATTTTTTTACCCATAGAGCAATTGTTTGTCATCAATTAAAATGAACAGTTCGCCACACTTGTTTAGTTTCCATATATTTTTATCGAAACCAAGCACTAATATAAGATATCATAAGATGTAGAGAAAAATATGCGAACTGGAATCAAACCTTGAATTTCTCTTCTTGAGTGTAAACTCAAAATTATAATTCGTTCACATTTTTGATTTATTTAAAATAAATGTTTGAACTTTTGCTTCGTAAATTGTACAGTGGTGCAAGGCGCCCAATAGGCAGTCTCGTGGTTTCACTACCCCCTTTAGATTGTGGTTTCACACTATCCCCTTTTAGATTGTGGTTTCACACTATCCCCGTTTAGATTGTGGTTTCACTATCCCCTTTTAGATTGTGGTTTCACACTATCCCCTTTTAGATTGTGGTTTCACACTATCCCCGTTTAGATTGTGGTTTCACTATCTCCTTTTAGATTGTGGTTTCACACTATCCTCTTTTATATTGTGGTTTCACTATTCCCTTTTAGATTGTGGTTTCACTATCCCCTTTTAGATTGTGGTTTCACTATCCCCTTTTAGATTGTGGTTTCACTATCCTCCTTTTAAATTGTGGTTTCACTATCCCCTTTTATATTGTGGTTTCACTATTCCCTTTTAGAATGTGGTTTCACACTATCCCCTTTTATATTGTGGTTTCATTATCCCCTTTTAGATTGTGGTTTCACTATCCCCTTTTAGATTGTGGTTTCACTATCCCCTTTAAATTGTGTTTTCACTATCCCCATTAGATTGTGGTTTCACTATCCCCTTTTGATTGAGTTTTTAAAAATTAAAAAATTGATTTAACATTTTTATTTTCAGGAGTGAGCACAGTAAATGGTGGGGAACCTTCTAAGCTAGAAATCAAGGAAAAGATTTTAAAAACAAATATTTTTAAAATTTAAAATACTTGTTCTTTCATTGTTTCACTTTGTCTATTGACTATTGAGGGCGTTTTTAAAATTTTCTTTTGATTAACAGGAGGAAACGGAGGAAATCACACCTAAAGGTATTTTTAAATCATAGGACATAAATTATTAACAAAAAGAAATAAAATCTGTTTGCGAAAGAATACCCCCCCCCCTCTCTTTGTCACTATGATGGCGCACCCCGGTTAGAATATGGAGTCAATGGGAAATCCCTAGCTACGTGAATGGAGTTGGCGTTGGCGTTGGCGTTGGCGTTGGCGTTGGCGTTGGCGTTGGCGTTGGCGTTGGCATTGGCATTGGCATTATAGATTAACGCATAAACTGGTACGGGCCAGGGATATCATGTGTTATGGCCCTTTCACTTGGCGGTGGTCTGGTCCATTGAAGATCCCATTTTTAATACTGAATACTTTATAGAAGATGAACCCCCTGAGATGGATATATTTATCAACAACGTTGTCTGTTCATTCTCTGTTCGCTGTCATCTCAACCTTAAAGAAATAGCTCTCACAGGGTCTAACGTAGAATACAGGTGATTATGGAACAGATGAAGCTATAAAAATCGCTGTTTAAAGGGACTGTAAGCGAAATTTCAAGTAACCCGATTCACAACGTCACCCTTTGTCTGATGACTAAAGATGAATAAGATATCCTCGTTTTCTTGGAAAATTGATTATCATCAGTTGGAGCTTCTCTAAATTAGAACTTTTTATATATGATAAAAAGACCATGTAAGAAGTTGTCAGAATCAAACATGTTTTAAGATGGAAAAACAAGAAAATCTTCATTTATTGTTAAACTGCTAGAGGTTTAAACTTTAAAGGGTACCATTGTGAATTGAATATGCCACTGATTAATTAAAAGGTCTCTTAAAATTTATTGTTTGTATAAACTATAAACTGCTTCATTTCAGGAATGTAAACTAATTTGTTAAGTTTAATAATAAAAGTGATCAAAGCAGTGCTAAGGATCCGGATCCAAGGGGAAAAATATCAACCAAAAACTGCATACAAAAAATCGTTTGCTCTTCAAACCAAAATCTGAACTGCTGAAAAAAAAGATTATTAAAATATCTCTTTTTTCTGAAAAGTTCATTATGTTTAAGCATAAAACAAGAAAAAAATTAAAAATTTTAATTTTTTAAAATCAGTTTATCTTTAAGACATGTTCATTATGTTCATGACCTGGATCCGAGTCTGGATCGATGATCCGGATCCACATAAAAATTGAAAGCACTGGATTAAGTGATCAAAAATATGGATTTTCTAATATTTAGACGAGAGAATGGAATGGTAACTATGAAGCTAAGGCATCCTTACACAACAGCCTCAATCTGGAGTTCAGGAAAGATAACCTGTACTGGTGCTAACACAGGTAGGTTTTACTGTGTACTCTGTACTGTACTGTACTGACTCTTCTTTACTGTACTGTGTACATAAAATAATTAATAACTAAATAACTAACTAAAAACATTTATTAAGCACACTTAATCACATGTATCTCTTTTTCACACTTGTAAATACACATTTTAAGGGTACCGTTGTGAAAAGGACATGCCGATTTTTTTTTTAATGGAGAGTCTATAAATTACAACATACCGTTAATCTTATTTGATTATTTTTTATTTCAGAGGATGACGCTCGGATTGCAGCAAGAAAATTTTCCAGAATTCTTCAACGTTTAGGAACCGAAGAATTTTATCATTATAAAAAACCCGTTGAAATCATAATAGTTAAAACAACTGATTTTACTTTTAAGACTCCAACGATTCTATACCCTTATTTTGGTTCGCTAGTCTTGTTAATGTAAACTCATCTCAAAATATTGAATAAACTCGGTTAATCAAATTCACGCTAAATTTTTATAAAAATCCACGAAAATTTCAAAAAACCGGAATCAATAGGAAACTCTTCGTAATAAATTGATGAATAACAATTATCCCAATATTTAAAAAATCTTTTTTCGAATTCTTCTTAATTGTTTTAGATGAAAAGTATCAGAAGATTCGTATTAAAAACTGGAGAATAGTAAACGTTCTTGGAACATGTAATCTTCCGTTTGGAATCAAGATTGTACCTTTCTCACAGGCTTTCAGGGTAAATAAGAACAATCATAGTGAAACGTCCCCCGGGAGAGAGGGGGGGTATGTATTTATGTATTTTCTCTAAAAAATTCTCCCACCACCCCTGTAAAATCATTTTCTCCACCAGAATCATATTTTCGGAAATTAAACTTTTTTTCTAAAAGAGAAACATCTTGTTTTTGGGTAAAAAAGAAAATAGTTGCTGAATAATCCCCCCATGGTTATCGAAGATCATTTATTTATTAATTCTACAAAAAATTAATCCCTACATTTTGTTGCTTTTTAAATAAACTCTTAATAAAAAATACTAAGTTGTTTCACGCATCAGATGTTTTTAAATTAAGAAACGATAAAAAAAACCGTTTTTGAAATATTAAAAACTCATAAAAATATCTTTATTTTGTAATATTGCAGGAAGCGAGCTATGAGCCAGAACTGCATCCTGGAGTTACATATAAGGAAAACAACATTTAAACCTTTTTTAAATATTAAACATATTTTATTAGTGTTCCGAGGCAAGATTACAAAAATAGATCAGAGACTAGATATACGTCAATTATTGAGTTTGTCTATGTTGAAAATTTAAACAGAAAATTCTACGAAATTCTACTTGTAAAGAAAAATTGCACCTTGAAGAGCGACGGTTAGCTGCAATATAATTTTATTATCACGCCGTATTCGTTCAAAAATTAAACTGGTGAATTTATGACAATAGAATGGTATTGCAAACAGTTGTGATCACTTCACCCTGATGTCAGGATATCCCGTGATGGTCATACCATAATTTTAAATTAGGAACTAAACATTGATTCTCAAATTAAAAGTTCCTTAATTGGATCAAGATCAAGCGTTAAAGATTAATTAATGATTATATCCACCCACAAGTTCTGATCTCTGAAACGTATATGTTTTATTTTAATCAGTTTACCAAATTGTTCGTACTCAAGAATCAAGGTTGGAAATTTTATCAAACGTCAGAAATTATAATTTAAGAGGATTGGGGACTAGGTTATCACAAGGAGCTTTGTGATATTAAGAGTAGGCATTGTGATTTATACGCAAAACCAGACGCCTCAATTGGGTTCCATACGAAGCCATAGAATGTCGTCTTTTCTATAATTTAAAAAGATTTCAGGACTTTTTAAGCATTTCCATCACCAAAAACTTGCGTTTTTTTTACATAATTTGCCGTTATTATCTTTTTAGATAAACTTTATCTTAAAACAGATTGCAATGTAATTGGTTTAAAAAATTTGGCTACTTAAAACCAAGGTTTTTTCGGGCTTTGCTCACGTTACTGGCCTAAAATTCTTCTTTAGACTATAACAAAACTATACTTAATCACATTCTAACAAATTTTGGTTCAAAATATGTGGTATTTTTCATACAAATGAGATGCGTAACAAAATCACAATTTTAGCTTTATTTTAACAGGAGAGCATCCTATCCTATAACCGAGCAAAACAAATTTAGAAGTTTATAACCGTGTCGTTATTTTCCAACCATTTGCAGCCAATGACGTCATCTAAAAGTGTACAGAGCGTACACACTATTCGAATTAATTCCTAATGCATATCTTTTACTTTTCTACCGTCTTTGGGTTACTATAACATGGAACTGCTCACCTTACTTATAAAATTTATAAATGTTAAATGTGTTTAATATAGTTAAAGCAGCCTAAAGCAACACTAAAGATCTTCTCTACTGGAAGTATCACTGTAACAGCTCCCAGTGTAGCTAATGTACAGGCAGCTGTAGAGCATATTTATCCTAAGGTCAAGTAGTTTTCTTGTTTTAAAGTTTATTTCTTCAAGGTGGTTTCTGTTTTGACAATTGCTTCTTAATTCGTCAATAAAATTAACAAATAATTTCCACCTTTAAATCTGACAAGCCCGACAAATATTTTTTGTGATCTTTTTCCCGTCCTTAAAAAACACGGAAACGGCAGAACCAAACCTTAAGGTTGTTTTTGTTTGTTTTTAATCATGAAAATATGTGATTTTATAGATTGAAGAGGATACGCTGTTAAATTAGGGGGGGGTTTTACTGTGTACTCTGTACTGTACTGTACTTCACCTTTTTCTAAAATTTGACTCATCAAAAAACAAAAAAAATCGAAAAAAA